AAAAAAAAAAAAAAGAAAGAAAGAAAGAAAGAAAATGGACTCTACAAGTATAAATATAAAGTATGTCATATTGATCTCCATTTATATAGTCACTTTCCTGCCTTTATCTTAACCTCATAAGTTGGAATGGCTCAATCCTCCACAGGCTCCCTCACCTTTTAAAAGAGATGCAGCCTAAGACAGCCAAGAATGGGAGTCACTGAAGGCAGATCACCTTGGTCCACATCTCTGCTCAATAAGTATGTCCTGCCTTGGGTAAGTAACTTACCCACTCTAACTCATTTCCTCATCAAGAGAATGGGGCCAATAGTACCTATGCCTCACAGGGCTTTTGTGAGGAGTATTACCAGACATAACAGTATGTCAAAACACTGAAAGGTATCTGGTACCATCCCAAATGTTCCACAAGGCTGAGCACTTACTAAATGCTCTATAAGGCGAGCACTTACTATCATCAATCATTCTTCAGTGCAATTCGCTAGGGAAACCTCAAGACCTACTCCAATAGCAGGGAGCATGGTATGGTAGAGTTAGGGCCAGACAGGTAGAGTTTGCTTGCAGGTGTGCACCGAGAAAAGGAGGGAGCTAAATATAGGCCTTGGAAGTCCTGAAGCTACAGGGATAGCAACAGGACTGTCCTTGTAGGCAGACATCAGCCTTGCAGAGTGCTTTCTCTGGGGAATTTGGAAGGTAACCTTGTCAAAAACGCTCAGGTAAGGGCGGTGCCTGTGGCTCAAAGGAGTAGGGCGCAGGCCCCATATGACAGAGGTGGCGGGTTCAAACCCAGCTCTGGCCAAGAACTGCCAAAAAAAAAAAAAATGCTCAGGTGAGATGGCAGCGCTACATAGAGGAAAAAATCAACCGGTCTCTCCCTGGGCTTGCAGCTCAAAAAAGGGGGATGAGGGGCCAAAAAGCACCCAGAGCCTTCGACGGACCAGAGTCTGAATCAGCGGACACATGCGTCCCGGAGGACCCGGGGGAACTGGGGGCTAAGCAGGGGCAGGGAATGGGGAAAACAACACGGGCTTTCTCCGTCCTCGGAATGGGGCCGGCATGCAGAGAACCAAGACTTCACAGAATTCGGGGATGAGCAGTCAGGCCGGAGAAGGAAAGATACTGGATCCCCGAGGTTGAGGGGGCTGGGGAGGGAGCTTGGCGCGCTCGAGCCCACAACCAGGCCCCAAGGTCTATTTACATCCGAGGCCCAGGCTCTGAGGCCGCGCATCCCGTACCCTTCAGTCCCAAGACTGACCTGCGAGGCGAAGAGCCTCAGGGCCGCAACCCCAGCGGCTTCCCGGCATCTCTGGCCAGACGATGGCAGGAGCCCGGGCTGCCTGGAGTGATGGCCGGGTCGGTGTGCCTGGCCTGAGGGGACGCAATGGGGGGCGGCTGCTGGGCCGCTACACCAGAGAGAAAGGGAACCCCGTAGTCCGCGGCGCTACCCCCTTGGACTTGTGGCCCCTGGGCGTCCCGCCCCCGTTCCCCGGCAGCCAGCTGGCCCTCGACGACGCCTACCTACCTTCGTTCGCCAGATCCGCCATTTTACTTCCTTAAGCCCTCCCACAAGGCCCCGCGCGGGCCTGGGCTCGCCTGCTTTCTGCCAGAAACTCGCGCGCGTGCGCACTTGACAAGCCGACGCCGTGCAAGGCGCACAACTTCGCGCCTGCGCGCTCAGAAGCGCGCCGAATCGAGTTCCGGCAGCCTTCCCAGCCTGGCCGCTCTCCGAGAACGCGCCTGCGTATTAACCGCCCTCCGCCTCTTTTCCCCCCGCCTACAGAAGGGGCATGGACAGGGCAGGGCAGGACTGGGCAGAGCAGAGCAGAGCGCGTGCGCGGTAGCCGCGAGTGTGCGGTTGGTGGCGTGACCCGAGCCTGGGTCTTGGGAGGCACCCGGGCGCGAACGTGGTCTTGACGCTTCTGTTTTGCTACTTGCTTCCCGGGGATCCCCAGCAGTGGGAAAATGAGCTATCGAACCGAAACCTGCCTCTAGATAAACTCCCTGCGGCTCCGGGGGCTTTTCCCACATGCCGGCGGGAGGCCTAAGACCTCAGGCCTTAGTTTCCCGGTGCCAGGAGCCGGTGCCTTGGGCAGACGCTTCCTGAGGCCATGTGGGGAGGCAGCGGGAGGGGTAGCAAAGCTGATGATGAAGAATACCGGCTTAGGGGAGGGGGCGGCCCTTGGACTGACGTGCTGTGTAGGGAACTCTGCGAAAGAGACTAGACCTTTCTGAGCGCGCCACAAGGGGCCCCGGCCGCCAGACCTCGCGGTTCTCCATCTGTGAAATGGGACCGCCAACCTCACAAGGTGTGTGTGAGAGAGAGCTAGGCCTCCTGGAGTGGGTCCACTGCCTGCTGCGACTCAGCAAACACTTGCAGCCGGCACCACCCTAGCCACGTTTCCTCAACACTTTCCTAGAAGACAGGACAGCCTCTTCTACACTACCTTTCGTGTCACTCTTACCAAGCTCCAGGTTCCACACTGTATATGGCAGCAGGCTGAGGAATCGTTTACAAATATAAACTAAAAATTGGGCGCGGTGGCTCACACCTGTAATCCCAGCAATGTGGGAGGTCTGGCGCTTGAGCTCAGGAGTTGGAAACCAGCTTGAGCAAGAGCGAGACCCCGTCTCTACTAAAATTAGAAAAACTAGCCAAGCGTTATGGCAGGCACCTCTAATCCCAGCCAGTCGGGAGGCTGAGGCAGGAGGATCACCTGAACCCAGGAGTTTGAAGTTGGTAAACTATGATGCCAGGGCACTCAACCGAGGGTGACAAAGTGAGACTGTCTCAAAAAAGTTTGTGTGTATATATATATATATACATTGTATACGTATACATAAACTAAAATTAAATATCAAGGGCTCATCCATCCTCAGTCCTTCCAAAGGGCTTCAGCTGAACTTGGGATAAATTCTACCCTCTTACTGCTCTTCCCATTTCAGCCACTTGAGTCTCTCTGTCCCTGGAGCACTATAAACTCATTCCAGCTTCAGGTTCTTTGCACTTGCTGATCCCTCTGCTATGTATTCCAGGTCTTATCTAGTTTGAGTCCCAGCTTTTCCCCTTTTTTTCCAGTATGATCTAGAAGGGGGTGAAGCAAATTCTGTATAAACTGTGGCCCAAATCTGGCTGTGAACTGAGAAAGTTGTGTGTGTGTGTTTTTAAACAGGCTAGGAAAAGATATCAAAAGAAAAATAGTCTCTCTTGACATGAAAATTATATGAAATTTAAATTATAGTGTCCATAAATAAAGTTTTATTTGAAAACAACTACACTTACTCATACATTGTCTATGGCTGCTTTTAAGATCTAACAGCAAAACTGAGTCGGTTTAACAGAGACTGTAAGTATTTACTATTTATGTCAGAAAAAGTTTGCCAACCCCTAATCTGGACACGTGTATTTACATGGTTAGCCTATACTTATCTGTATGTCTGGTAAATGTTGAAGAACTGCTTCTTGGGAAGAGAATGTGTATGTCAGTATGAACGTATATGTATATGTGGTTTATTGTAATTTTACTGATACTTTTCTACTACTGTCATAGTCTAGAGCAGGAGTCCTCAAAAGTTTTTAAACGGGGCCAGTTCACTGTCCCTCAGACCGTTGGAGGGCCGGACTGTGGGCCCTGGAACGAGTTCGCTGCTAAGCAGGACAGGCAGTGACAGCAAAAACACCCAGCAGCTGTTAAATGTCCTAGGCAGGCCATGTGTGGTCCACAGGTTGTAGTTTGAGGACGCCTGGTCTAGAGGACAATTAATAAAACAAGTTGAGGTCTGATTTGTAGTATTTGTAGATTTTCTTGGTGTAAATACTTCAGCCCTGGCCTATTTTAAGCTATCATAGGAAGTTACTAACCACAGAGTTGGGAAGAGATGTGGGAAAGCACATCATGTTTTTTTCCAAGAGCTTCCTGCTTTCTTAGTACAGTCCCAGACGTTCAGCAGCATCATCACCTACAAGCTTGTTAGAAATACAGAATCCTGGCTTGGCACCTGTAGCTCAACCTGCTAAGGCACCAGCCATATACACCTAAGGTGGCAGGTT